CTCAGTGTCCTGTTAGTCATGGTGTGCTTAAAAATATTTCCAAATCTAAATTTTGGATTTCTCACAATCTCTTCTTTGTACTAGTCCAACTATTTTAATGTGTTTTGAAAATTTCCTCATGTTAAAAAATATTTTTTCTTACATGTTTTTCTCTTTTGTAAAACCCCAGTTTATCTATTTAGCACTATTAAACTGTTATCTTAAATGAAAATGGGAACATCATCAAAAGGCTGAGAGTATTATTTATCTTGACCATGTCTTCACATGTCAGAAAATTAAGACAGTGATGAATTACACATTACTGTACAAAATTTTATTATCAGAGACAAAATTCAAATTTGTTCTGCTTAAAATACAGAAGATAAAGTTTCTCATTAAAAAAAAAATCCATTTAGTCAGTCTTTAGTCAGAGCAGAATAAAAATTTTATGTTGAACATACACTGGTCCCATATTTATGGATTTTTTTTWAAGTTTTATCATAGAAAAACACTTTTCTGGCAAACTGTAACATAAGTTCATATATTTTATGTGGTTAATGATTTAAGCTGCTTAGTAATGGTATATTTTGTTTTATTGTCATTAATTGACATTGTACAAATAGATTCATTCTTATTCCCAAATCCTAGAATGCTTCAAAGAAAAATGAAAAGTCTTGTTAAATTTGACATTTTTAAATTTACAGAGGGCCTATATCTCCCCTTTATATGCAAATAATGTTTCTATTAAAAAAAAAAAAAAAAAAGAGATAAGAGCATTTGGACCAGTATAAATCAAGTTATGATTTTAAATTCACCAAAACCACATCACAGTATTTTGCACTTGAATCAGTTGTCTAAATCTTTTGCTTTTGTGAAAGTCTTTTTCAGCCAGATAAATAATTTGATACATAATTTAAAGCAGGTGGTTAGTCTCACTGAAATAATTTGGACTGCTTACATGCTTAAATACATGGCTGAGCCACAGCCAACAYAGCCACAAATCCAGCATGGCTAACTGCTTTGCTGTGTTAAAAGCGAATAACCAATGGAAGTTTCATCAAGGTAAATGCTCCAAGATTACAAACTATATATGTATGTATAGTACAAATAGAATTTTGATACTACATGATTACCTATATTTCCTTTAAGTTAAAATGGCATTCTGTTCTTGCAAACACTGTCTTGTGCAAAATCATTACTGAACTGTGTCCAAGCTATGCCAGTTCCACCTCTTACTTGACAACTGAATTCAAGAATACAAATTTGGGAACAGATGGAAAAGTATGCTCACTTGATTATAATATTTAGGATTAATCTAAGGATGAGACAGAATTAATACAGGAACTCATCCATTAAAACCAGCATTAATAGTTGTAGGATTTTTTCTTTCTTTTTGTGGTCTCATAAGACATTACATGTAGGGTCTTTTGGGAAAATAACATTATTATGAAGTCTTTGTTTCAATGTTATGATCTCTGTCATTGATGTGCATGTAGTGGAACAGATCATTATTTTTTGGAAAACTGGTTTATGTATATGTTTATCTTCTGCAAAATAGAGCAACTAAACACTTTTGGAAAATATCAGACAGAGTTACAATCTCTGTTTTTATAAGGCTATATGTCTCATCCACAAAGCCAGTTGTCCCTCAAACATAAAAACAACAAAGCAAAATTACATTTACACATATAATAAAGCTGTTTTTGTACAAGGTAGTTATACAGTAATTACAATGATGCTTCCATTAGAAATCACTCTGAATATTTTTTTTCACTTAATCTCTAAGTCCAGGGAACTCAGTCATCGCTGAAATCTACTATTTGCAGTAAAAAGAGAGGGTAATAGCCACATATTTCACAATACAGTATTCTGCAATTCTGCAAGTATATTATAAAGCTTTATCATACTGGAATCAGTTACAAAGTATTATTCTAACAAAAAGCAAAAGAAAAGGAAAAAACATGTCATCAAATATATGCTACAGAAGCTTACATACAAATACACAAAACTTTCTGTATACCAGTCTAGCTGTCACCTCGGGTGGGTGTTTTGAAAGCAGTGGGCAAGATCCTCAGCTGCAATTCACATCATTCACTTCAACAGACCTACCTCACTGCACACCAACTGAGGGTCTGCAGCCATATATGTCATTGACTTGGCTACAGCTTATTTTGAAACTACAGAAATTATTAAATTACATAGACTGAAATGTATTGCAGAGAACTGAGAATGCATCTTGGCTCTTGGCATCATCCACTACATCAGTGATATCATCACCATCTGATGGAAATCCAAGCAGAGCTATCATGGAAATGTTGGGCATTCGACCTAGAGCTTTCTGGCTCATGACTCCTGCAGCACAGTCTGCTCAACTCCTCTACCAACACTGCTTCAATGTCCTTTGGAAACAGCGTACATTAAATAAACAGAGCATTCAGAAATATTATGCAGCAATCCAGCACTTACATCACTGGTTATGAATCAACCAAATATATGTGCTGTTTTCCCAAAGAGGACCAAGAATCCGACTCCCAGCGCTTGGTCATGTAGGTGATCATTTTCAACACCAAGTTTCATTGAAACCAGCTCCACTCACGAGCATTTCATGAAACTCAGCTTCAACTATGTTATGATGGAGGGGAAGGCTGAGGTCAAGCTACCCTCCAGTAACAGCATGGAGCAACAAGATGGAGCTAACTTCAGGATGTCAACCAGCTTTCCTCAAAATATACTTGATTTTAAAATCACTCTCCAATTTGGCATGTGGCCTGACTTTAGTGAAAAATCCTTACATATCCGTTTCTCCTCTTCCTTCTCATTTAAAACTAAATCACTCATATTATAAGGAAGGATGACTTGGTCAAGACAGTGCTTTTAATGGATATCAGTATTTCTTTTAGGATAGGCAAATTTGTCATAGTCATTTGGGAATGGTTAACTCTTTACAGTTTTGTATACAAAAGGCAACTACATGGACAGATTTGCATGGATATTTTGAATTTTTAGTGGTGGCATTATTGCAACTACTTCTACTGCTACAGTTGCCACACACTTCTCCAAGATGCTGATGTCTCCTAACATTGATATTCATTACATGGAATCAGCACTCCTTTATAGCAGCATACTGTTTGGGAGAAAGAGTCTGAGAAACTCATGGCATATTTTCAACATAAACAACAACAACAACAACAACAAAACCGAAGAAAAGACTTTCTCCAGCCTTACACACACTTTAAAATTCAAAATATGCTTGACCACCTGAAATGACTTCTGGAAATCAGACAAGACAAAATTCCAGGCCTTTATAACATGTTCCAGAGTGCAGGAACTAGAAACACTTTCCACAGTGCATGAACTTAGATTTTTCTGTACAGTGGACAAGCTCAGCAGCTGGACCTTCATTTCCTAAGAGCATAAGGCAATTCTACATGTCTCTCAAAGTCTCTTTTAATTGCCATCAATACCACCTGGGAAAGCAACGGGAAAACAAATCCTTATTATGTAGATTCCTAAGCAAGGCACCCTCGCCTGCAAATATTGGCCTCACTTTAATATTATCTCATTCGAATAATCAGATACACTGACATTCTATTGGAAAATTATCTCTACAGACTGCTTTTCACATGAAGACTTAGTTGTATGGTTCAGAATTTTTGCTGTGAAAGTACCCCTCTGCATCAGCAGAGATACTTCCTTTGACATCCTAAAGCTCAGTAAAACATCCAAAATAGCCCCAAAACTACATAAAATTTATCTTGTTTCTAATACAATATACAAATTCTTGCTGTATTCACTGAAAAGACCATCAAAGGTCACATATCTGGATGTACTTAATGACAAAATAAGGTTATTCATCAAAACACTCTCCAAATTAGTGTTCAAGTACTCCCCACAAAAAGCAGAAGTGACATTTCATTTCAGAGGAATGTTTTCACATTGTTCTGCTCTAGTCACAATTAATAGCTACCTTCATTTTAATAGCTATTAGTRTTGGATATAAGAATATTTCTACCAGCTACAAAGTAAGAGGCTGAGACTTTTTGTAGCGAACAGTGTTATTAAACTTCAATACACTGGCATTGATTTGCATCTGTTCATGTGTCTTTCTATATTATTTAGTATGCTTTAAGAATTAGTTATAGCAAAGGATCCTGAGCCATATCAAAGGTAAATAGAGGCAGAGGCTTTATCAAATCTCTATCAAATGCTTGTGGGATTYGGGTGAGGTCCATCTCTGCTCTGGATCCATATTTTGCAGTACTTCCTCTCCCTGAAAAGGACAAAACCAAATCTCTCGGAGTATTTGCAACTCCAAAAAACTTGCAATATTCAGTTTCTCAATCACAGTCCAAATTATAAAAATGGAACCTGTTTTTAAATAAGAACAAAGGAAGAAAAGGACTGGCAAAAAGAATAGAAATCAATAAGAYAGATTTTTCTAAGCAGATTGTATTAGAATTTTCCATGAGGTATCACATATGTATGGCACTTAAAATAAAAAAATTTCTAAAGACCTATAATTAGATATGGTGTTTGTCAATACTGTTGAAAACAGTTATAGTTTCCTTGRATTTAAGCCATTTAAATTTAATCTTGACTACATGTGAAAAAAGAAACATATGAAATATTAAAAATAGAAAAAAAAGTCAGTAACTATAATGGAAATGTCAACTCAACCTTAACTATAGCAGTAACAGCAACATTACTGTAATACAGCAATTATAACCAATACATCAGCAGGTATGTGTAACAGATGCAGCTAGGACTTTTGATATTTGTGATAGACCAGCTCCTCAAGGCCACTAAATATTTACATCCATCAGCTAAATGTGCAAGAACTTCAATTCATATGAGCAACAGTAGAAATATCTGCACACTGCATAGAACACCTATGCTGAACCAAACCATCAACTTTGGAATATACTGTAAGTCTGTCCTTCATATGTAAAGACCAGAAACTTTCGTGCATAGCCTGAAGACATATGGTTTAATATGAAAAAAAAAAGAAAGGAATCATCAAAGAGAATTTTGAGAGAGTCTGACAGACCATTATATACACTACTTTCCTCTGAAATTCCCAAAGTAAACACGTTTGAGAGCTTATGTTTCTGCACACTCTTTGGAAAATATAAGTTTGGGCTTCATTGAAGGATAGAGGCTCTAAAAGAGAATATTTGGCTTGTTTTTTATTATAACAAGTCTGCATGTGATTTTGTTCAGAAGAAATCAAATCTGTGAAGCTACATACTCACTGAGTTTGAGTTTGGTCAGCCACATAATATAAAACTTTGCATTTTAAAAAGCCTTTCATCAGAGRATATTTAAATGCTTTGCTAACATTATCAAGCCTCACAACACCCCTGTGAGGTAGGTAAAATACATTGGAGGAGGAGGATTTCATTGAGCATGTTCGTGTAAATATCTCTGGATGGAAAGGGTAGGTTCCCTACTAATGCAAACTATCACACATATTTAGAGCTTACTATGAGGCAAAAAATACAAAGTACAATAGCAAAGGATTCCCTCTTCTTCTGGCWATAGGCAGTCAGTTTTATGCAGTGTGGTATCCCACCAAAAAGTGGAGAAAATGCTTTTCACAAGGATTTCATGCATCCAGCCCAAGAAACAGCACCCTCTGCATCATAGAAGACACAAAATGAGATGGCAAAGATGGATAATAGTAATGATATAGTAAAGATACTGGTATGGTAGCTTAGTTTGGGGATGTGTCTACTGGTTCGTGAAGAAAGGGACACATTGGAGTGAGAGGCTAGAAATCAATACTCCTTCCGAGTCACTCTGGTAGTACCTGAAAATGGCAGGTTTTCGCTCTTTTCACACTAACACTTCCACTGTTCAGCAACTGAGGGGAGATATTGCTGCTGTGAAGCACTTTTGTAATCTCCATGCCTTCTGAAGGACACAACCAATTAAAATGGGTATTCTCTGCATTCACTGGCCATGTGCTCCCTAGTGAGAGTTGACGTTGTGGTCAGGTGGTTGTGATGGCCTGGGCTGGGCTATAGAAACACTGCAATATATCCACTTTCCTCACTGAGCTGCTGCAACCTGCCTCCTATAAATCCTCTATAGTTTTTTCTTCTTCATGGCGCAAAAATGTGATAGTATTTGGCCRTAAGATGAATCAGTTTCATCTGTAACACAGAGCATCAATAATGCAGAAGGTTATCATACAATTCACAATTCTACTATCTTACCAGCTTCTCAAATTGAGGATCAAGAAAAAATGAACAAACACATGATTGAGAAGAGTATCAGTTCTCTAAACAGTCTAAGTGGAATAAAAAAAAATAAAAAAAAAAACAGAAATAAAACAGTTTTCTCAATATTAGACAATACAAATACAGACACACACATACTCCTCTTTCTCCATATTTCACTTTTCTATGTTGAATTAAGTGGTACATCTCATATTTGCAAAAATACTGCCCACATGGAAAATGTGAGTTGTCTACCATAATACATCATTACAGAGGCTGGTCCACTGCATGCAAGACAGCTATCTTGGTTAATTCTATGCTTTTGCATAGAATCAGACATAAGCCATCCCCCCCTTTTGCTAATTTCCATTTGAATCTTATGTTTATTCATAATACTTGTGCATCATCAGCTACATTCCTATTTACTGCACGGGTTGGCTGACCCATCGTGAATAACACTGCCTTGTAAAATTGTTCAGAAGAGGTGGTTCATGGATCCTCTCCAATCAACTATGCAAAGTTTTTTTTCATAAACACTGTGTATGTACATGATCAAAACTATATTGTTGCACTGATCAGCAGCAAATAAATCTATGTAATTACAATGCAAGAATGAGATCCCTCTCACATTCRTTTTCTCTATCTCTTGCACTCTCTATATATGTGCAGTTTATTTAATCATGGCAATAGAGAGACTGCAGTTGTAACAACTGGCAACTTAAAAATGAGCCATCATCTTTATAATCATTAAGAGACAATCTGAGTGCTGGGCTAGTCAGCAACTAGCAGTGACAGCTGACTTCACCTCTCATATTGCCCCCACTAAGAAGCCATTTCATTCTTCTTCTTTCCATCCTTTTTGTTCCTTGCAACACTGATTGTCAGAGATAGTCTTTGTGCTTTGTATAATGCCCATTTTTGATGTAACAGAATTTCACATACAAAATGTGGCTGTTATACGTAAGCATGCTAGAATACAGGCAGGGACAGTACAAGCATGCACAAAATAGTCTTTCAAGGGTTTTTGTTTGCTTCATTTTCTTCAAACTGACAGTAACGTTTACATGCACCACTTAATATCGTGTTTGGTTTTGTACACTTGAGGAGTGGGTTTCACAAGCATTCATGACCTTCTCTTCTGCAAAACTTCTTGGCAATTTTCCATGAGCCTAGAAAAAAGAAAGCTCCTCCCTGCAATCTTATTTTGTCTTCATGAATTTCATGTCAAGCATCTCTAAAATTTCTCTTTTTCCTCTTGCAGAACTTTATGTCCAATGGTCAGTTGGAAAGACATTTTAGTGTGTCAGGGAWTTTCTTAGCCACTGGAATAGTTCTTCCTTATAAAGCCTTTGCCACCGCACATTGGCTTCCACTGTTTCCACAGCCCGGGAGAAAGAGGCAGCAGCTCCCTCTTCGTAAGTCTTTATAAAGTTCTTTAGCTGGAAATACAATTTACAAAGTTAAATTTGCAGGAACTAAAGAAAGTAAATATTTTCAGTGCATATAAACAAGCCAAACATTTAGCACAAACCTTCACAATCATTGTTGAAGTAAATGTAAGAACCTATAGAGAGATTTAATGCAAAACGTAATGAGACAGCAGAGTCTGTCAATTATACGTGATGCAATTGCTTCAAATTGCAGTGGAAGTTATTGACATGTCAATGCCAGATCACATTAATATCATTTGCTCCTTCTCTGCTATTGCCCATCTGCCACACTTTGTAAGACAGCTGGGCTGCTCTGAACTTTTCATTTCTACTTAAGAAACTAAATTGGGAGCACTGGAAAATCTCCCAATTCAAGTTTATAACCAAATGTCATCAGAATGTGGCCCTGATCCTCTTTGGATTAATCATAGTTCACAACAAATTTATTTCATTTTGATTTGCAGAATTCTTTTGTTTAGAAAGGAAGGAATGGTTAGTGAGAAAAGAACAGCAAGAATAGCAAACAAGCACACACTTGATTTTTGAACTCTTGAAATAAATTCTTTCCCTYATGAGAAAGCTTGGCTCTTTCCTCAGCACTCTGAAAAGGCCTTTGCTCTGTTCTCAGGTCTGTTCAAATCATAGCACTATGATTTTGATTATTATAGTTGATGACCTTGGTGTGCTTTGAATCACCAGCCACTTTAAGTGAAGAGAACTGCAAGAATCATCCACACAGTAGGTTGCTGGTTACGTTGACTTGTACAAAATCAGTTGTTTTAGCTACACATTGATGACTGGTAAACTCTTATTTTTTAGAGATGCCATATCACCTTATCCACTCAAACTTGATTTCCACTAACTTCTTGTGTACCCACTCAAAACTGAACAGCTGGCACCGCAACTATTTCAATTCCACTACAACTAAAAAGTACCTGATCTTTGTACTTTTTGTARTAAGTAGTTATTACTTCTTATAATAAGTGCTTACATGGCCAAGTTCCTTTAGAGGAAGTAGAAACAGAAAACCTGTCAGCATTACCGTGGAGGTGGGAACTGAGGGTGCAGTGGGCAGAGATGTGGCAAGGCTACTCAAGGCTGCTCAGCAATGTCCTCCCCAGCTGGGTAGCCTTCAGGAAACCAGCTGTGGTTCTTCTCTTACTTCCTTCGTCGATTAGACTGAGTGCAGACAAATGGTCATGCACAAACATGACATCACTATTAGAGTTCAATTAATGGTGATTATCTCCTTTTGTRTAAGAACCATGTGATCCATTTGGGATTATGTAGAACAGCTGCTAAGCGAGAAGTAACAGACCCTTACAACCCCCTTAGTGGGGGCAGATGTTAAGTTGAAATGAGAGATCCTTGCAATCTAGGTAAGAAGTACTTAGCTCTTAGGAGAGGAAAAAAAAAAAAAAAAAAAAAAGAGAGAGAGAGAGAGAGGAAAAAAAAATCCTGTGATGTCATTTGGCCAGAATATCAAGATTAACAGCTCTTCTCACACTGAAATACTACAGATAAGAGAAGAACAGAGATGGCACTGGCAACTCCTCTTTTACCACAGAGTTTTTCAAGGTAGTTTATTTGCTGTGTATCATAGAGCAGCCTCGGTAGAAAGAGCTTGTGTCTAACTTCTCAGCTACTAGAGTTAGGAAAAAAGACCAAGTCTACATGTCCAGGCAGACCTTTACTCCAGACTAACTGGAAGATAGTTAAGTGTGTGTTTTTCATTCAAAATCAGTACCTAACAGAAAGATTCTTCAGTAAATTATTCTACACTTAAGGCAGCTCCAAAACCCTGCTTCAGGTTGAAAGTTCAGTTCAGGGTCTGCCACAGACTAACGAAGGAAAAAGAGAAGAAAGGTTCACTGTAGCAAGATCCAACAGGAAGAGAAGAATGCAATATTTTAGAGTATATAGAGAACTGCCTGCACTATCCACCTCCATGATAACCTTTCATTCCACAGAGGTACCTTCATAATCTGCTTCTCATCTTCCTACTGCATAGCTGCACGATGAACCTGTGACTCCAGCTGAGCAAACTATACTTTCCCAATAACCAACTGCTGTTCCTGGTGGTTCAGTGCTGCTTTGGATCAATCACAGAGGAATCTGCAGTGACTCATTGTCCCTGCAAACCGGTCCAGAGGGACACACAGATTTTTTCAGCTTCTCAGACCTTAGTTGCTGCTGACAACTTTTGATCCCGGTCTGCTTCCTGCTTACAACAAAACCAGCCTCACGTACTGAAGATCATTTATAAATTACCTCCATTAGTTCTTCTTCAGTATTAAGGAATTCCGTGACTCCACTGATGAGCTTGGAATTCATAAACAGTGCTTCTCCATACCTGTAAGAGCAAAAGGAAGATACATAGAGATTCAGTGCAAGAGTAAGGTCAGCTCAAAATGAGAAAATAATCTCCTACAGCAGGGAAGAATACCTAGCATCCAAGAGAACAGTACTGGGATTAGACAATGTTTCATATTGAAAGCCTAGACTGCAGCATTTTATAGACCTAAGTGTTTGCAGTTAACTTTTGGTGGGATGCTGCTAAGTAGGATGAGTTAACTGAAGTCACAAATGAGAGTTCCAAAAAAAAGGAGAGGACCAAACTACATAAATGTTTTATGCTTATGAAGCAGCTTTCCATGTAAGAACACCAAGAAGCTCAAAATACAAACAGCAAAGAAGGAGCAACAACTAGAAGTTGCCCTGAGGAGCCCTTCTAGCTGCATCACTAAAATAAACTTTCTGAAATCCAGCAGTCTTCCCTGCATTTTGCACTCATCCTCCTCACCTACTTTAGCTCTTAGTTAAGTGAACTAAATCAAATTCTCTTGTTCCACTACCTGATAATTAAAGTAAGTAATATTGATAAAAAGCAATACTGCTAAAAATTATCCCCTGGGCCATGATGCAGCATCTTCAAAGAAACAACCTGTCAATGAAGATGTGAAAGCTTGTGCACAGAACACTTGAAGGTAAATGTATAGCTGGATAGGATATTCATTTGCAAGCAGCAATGACATTCAGCAGGTATTTGCTTTCAAACTGTTCATTGAAGTGCTGCTGTTCGACTTGCTCATCTACAAGTTTTCTCAAACTCCCCAAGTATCTATGTCTTTGGTAAAATAGATGAGATTGTTCCTGAATTTTTGTTACATGCTGGAATGAAGCATGTGACAAATAGTTAGCCTTACCTGTATCTGCACACAGATCCAAAAAAGTCTCTAGCTAATCTGAACATGATTGYGTTAAGGATAGGAAATCCAGCTCCCCTGTCAGGCTTGCATAAGTAATGCCAATCGACTTCACAGCACTTAGGTAAGATAGGTTCAAAATTCAATTTGAAATGAACTGGCACATCTATTGCTTTCTCTTCTGCTTCTATTAGTCTGGTATTAAGCTAATTTCCCTTAAATGCTGAGGTACTGTAACCCAAATAGTCCTTCAGAAAGAGAAAGGGAGAGAAAGTGAAATAGAAAAGAAAGGAGAGAATGAGAGGAAGAGGGAGTGGGGAGGAAAAGAGAAGAATTAAATGGGAGAGGACAAAGCAGAAGTTTTTGGTTTAGGGGWAATGTCTACTGTGCTGCTTACAACCTGGAACTTATGTGCAGGAAACCACTGCTGTAAATATTAAAAATCCTACTCCTTGACCACTAATAACTGAATTATTCATGGGTATTTCACATCTCTTTTTTTCCCAAAACTTCAGCCACACTGACATATACAGATATCCAGAAGCAAATGCTTCCCATGGGAAGTATGGATTTCATGGTCTTTTAAGCACATTTAGGCTTTCTAACAAAGTCCTTTATTGTTACATTCTCAGCTTAGCCTCATAATTGACTGCCTGGAAAATTGGAAGCTCCTCTTGATGGGGTCTTTTGAGAAGGTTACCAATCCACTTTACAGAAGCGACCCCATGAAAATCATTGCAGGGTTTTTATTTTTTCTTGTAGCTAGTGCTGTGTCCACTGTGTGCACAGGAAAGAGCAAAATTTTTTCCACTGAAACCTATGCCTTCATGAACATTTATGCTGCTTACTGCCCATTGTACTTACATGGTAATAAGCCAGCCACTAATAGTAATTTCTATGTGGCCTCTGCTGGCAAAAATTCTGGTAAAGCCACCTCCCAAAATGGCATTTTGCAAGAAATATAAACAGACATCTATGAGAAAGTGTTTGCTCTTGCAAATATCAGTCTTCCCACTCTTCACAGAAAAGGCAATTGCATTGTAGAAACAGACTCTTAGAAACTTTGGCTATCTGGAACTTCCTAAAAGTCACAGATTCAGCACCTGCTCCTACATTTTCAAAGGTATTGCATTTGTGGGAAGTAAAATTGAGTGAATTTGGCAGCATATTCCATTTACTTTGGCAAATTCCCAAATATTGACAAATGACTCAGTTGGATAAAAGTCTTCATAAACACATGCAGGTGCAGACACATTCAGAGTGACTTAGAAGGCCACGTCTGGAATGATCAGGTACCAGGAATTTAAACATAGCTTTTTCTTTTTTTTTTTTTTTTTCAATTTTTCTTAAAAGATAGCAGTCCCACTCTTGAATTTTTTTTTAGAAATCTTAGTTTCTAAGTCACTTTGCAAATGGGATATGAGTAATTTTGAAGTTTTTTAAACATTATCCTTATCTTCTGAGTAGTGTGAATACAAGCATACTGTAATAACATAAAAGACCGACAATATTTTGTTGGAGTTGTTCTAACTCTTTGATATGGAGTATTTTCAAGTCAGAGGAAATAGCATTAAAATTTTAATCACTCAGCTATTTGCATTACTGTTTCAAATGTCAACATCTCTCATAATAAATTCAATGGAAAATACCATTGAGATATCAGTTTATTAAATTAATGTTTATTACAAAGTATTACATCTTTAAACAAAATTATATGACGACGTATAGTTGCAGAAAAAATACTTGAACCATAATCCTGAAATAAAGTTTGTATTTAAAAAAAGTCTTAGTATAGCAAATCTAAATCAGAAGCTTAATTTTTCATTCTATCATGTCAATCTTTCACTAAATATCTAATTGTACCCTTTGAAAGTCTCTCTAATAAGTTTTAATCTGTAACCACAAAATGAAATTATTTTCAATACACATCAGGTATGTAAAGTTTGTATTAATTATTTCATTCCACTGGATTGATTCAACTGATGATCAATAGGAACTCTACTGGATGGACACGTTTCAAAAACGTGTAAAAGACAAACAGCAAGTGATACAAGTCCTTTGATGGCTCTTGTGTTGGCATCAGTGTAGGTAGCATAAAGCTAGTTTGGGGTGAAAAGACAGCAATGCTGTTATTTTCTCATAAAAAATACAGTAACAGGTGCTTCACAAAGTCTTGCTGATTATTAGGAAATCAGACAACACAGTGATGCATACTAAGGAAGATGAATTAACATTCACATTTTAAGCCAAGGTAAGCCATCTTAAATTTTAAAGCAAAATTTTTTGTTTAAAGGCAAAAAAAAAAAGGGATCTGAAACATTTTTCTAAATTTTACCCACTTTTCTACACTGCCTATACTTGTACATATCTAAAATCACAGGTGACAGCTAGATGATCAGACACACATTTACACTGAGAAGGTAGGACACAATTTTCTGTGTATGTGCTTGTAACAATACAGAATTCATACAAAAATTCTGTTCAGATCCCTTCAGGAACATAAAATATTGCCTGCTATCCTGAACATAACTCATTTCATTGGGTTACAAAGTGGGTCTGCCATTCACTTTCTCAGTAAAAGTCCAGTTCTTAGAATAGTCATACCAGAAGCAGAGGCTTCTTTATTTTTAAACCCTTCAGAACTCATAGCTTTTAGGAAATTGCTTTTGAAAAGTGAGTTCCTGCAATAGAAACTTCCAAAACTAACTTTCAGCCCAAACCTACTTTTACAGCTGACCTTCTTTTAAAGCATACTAAGCTAGAAAATATTATGCACAGGAGGATGGAATAAACTTTCCAATTTTTTTTAGGGAAGTTGTATGGACAGACTCTGAGCTTCCTTAGCTCATTTTCTGATGCAGTGACACCAATAGTAAGTTGGTACTTCTGACATGAGGATTAAATTTAGCATCTTAAATATGCAGTTTTAAATATTCTATTTTATGCTGTGAACCCATAAATGAGCAGATATCCAGCATGTTATCTAGCAAGTCTGCCAAGACCATGAGGGTGGTTTGGCTCCCCTGGGGTGTCCGAAGCTCTTGAACACCAGCGCTTAAGAACCTGAACTTCACCAAAGATACGGTCCCTTCTAATCTCTCAGGATCASATGATTTGTTGTGAAATCTCTTAGACCCTGAAGAACTAAAAAAAGCCTCATTGTTTGACTTTTTGACATATCAAAAAGGATTTTTAAAGTGTTCAGTGGGCTTTTTTCAATAAAAGTTTTAGTATATGTGCAAAGACAACATAGATATGGAAACAACACAGTCTCCTTCCTGTTCATCCGTATTTGGTTTCACCAGCAGAAAGCCTTTAGAAAACTGAGATATTACTAAAAGGTTTTATTTTTCACAGTTCAACTAACATGCTTGAAGAAGAGTTTTTTTTCTCTCAGATTTAAAAATAGCATAATTTTTGGGGAACTGACATTATTTTTTAAAAAATCTATGCAAAAGTAGGATTGCAGCAATTGACATATGGGCAGAATTCATTATCACAAATGCAAACACAATACAGTAATAGATATTCAAACAGATGATGATCTGGAGATAAATGTTTGCATAAATGCATGTGGGAATCTATAAATAAATGTATTCATGATTCATATTTATGTATCCAATGTTTAGAGATGTATCCTTACTTATGGAAAATGAGAAGGGATTTATGCATTGATTCAGGAATCAGTATCTAAACCACCTACATGAAAAATATCAAGCAAAAAATTGTAAAAATATTTTTTATCTTTACCTAGCATTTAATATTTTCCATTTTTCTCTGAAAAACTTCCAAGCAAGATCCCTTCCATGTGGATTTCGAGCTACGTGGATTATAACATCAATTGCATCCTGATCCAGGACAACTTCTGAGTTGAGGGATAAATTCAAAAGCCTAGTGGGAGAAAAAAAGGATAAAGAATTTAGTTTCATCCACTTGAACATATACTCTAAGAAAAACACACTTAAAGTCTCTCAGGAAGAGAAGAAAAGAAAAAAAAAAAAAAGACAGAGCCTGTAAAGTGGCTTAAGTCTCCAAGTGAATTTATGATTTTATTTCTGTGATTCCAAAGACCAGACCAATTTCTGAATCAGGAAAATTTTGACTTCTCTTATTGAATTCTAGTATTTGTAGAAGATATAGATTTAAGAAGATTCGATAAAAGCTGAACTGAGACCTTTAGGTGTATTTTAAAAAATCAGTAACATGACTAGACTGTTCAGTATATTTATATAAAGAAACAGTAATTATTTAAAATTTCAAACATTTCCAGTGAACATTGGACAATTTAGAAATGAAATTACATCAAAATATGTTCACACATGTGCATTAACGCAGAAAAACAAGGTAGTTCAAATAACAAGCTGTGTTTTAAAACTGATGTTTTTCATTTAGACAAAAGCTCAAGCAATAATCCATAAAAACTGAATTGATTATCACTAACCATCATATAACCATACGATGGTTATTCTGATACTTATATTCTCCAAGTTCAGAATCAGTGCATTCCTACAAGAAAGAAGTTAAACAATGCAGATAGGAGACCTCGGTGGTGGGCAAGAAGCTTTTGGGAAAACTTAAAGAGAAAAGAAGAGCACACACAATGTGGAAGAAGGGTCAGATGACATGGGAACAATATAGAAACACTGTCAGAGAATGTAGGGATGCAACAAGGAAGACCAAGGCCCATTTGGAATTAGAGTTAGTAAGAGATGTCAGGGACAACAGGAAGGTCTTCTATAAATACATCAGCAGCATGAGGAAGACTAGGAAAATGTGGGTCCGCAGTCAAACAGGGTGGGTGCTTTGGTGATGGAGAAAGTAGAGTTACCAAATGCCTTCTTTGCTTCAGGCTAGTTCCCATGAACTACAGAGTCGGACACAAGACAGAAAACCGGGAGAGAGGAATATGATTAAGGGCCTGGAGCATCTTTCATATGAGGAAAGACTAAGCAAGCTAGGCCTGTTTAACCTGGAGAAGACTGAAGGGGATCTTATCAACATGTACAAATACCCGGGAGGAGAATTAAGGGAGGAAGGGGCCAAACTCTTCCCACTGGTCATCAGCAACAGAACAAGGGGCAATGGGTGTAAGCTGACACACAGGAAGTTCCATCTCCACGTGAGGAGGAACTTCTTTCCTATGAGGGTGAGAGTCCTGGCACAGGCTGCCCAGGGAGGCTGYGGAGTCTCCTTCTCTGGRGRTCTTCCAAAKCCGCCTGGATGCCGCCCTGTGCCCCGTGCTCTGGGTGTCCCTGCTGGAACAGGGGGTTGGACTAGATGATCTCTAGAGGTCCCTKCCAAYCTCAACCATTCTGTGATTCTGATATATATATAACGTTTTTCTACCTGTTAAGCAAATTTCTGTCATCGCTGCAAGTTAAGGCTTCTAATAATATTTTCTTTTCAGATACTGCTGTGATAGAATGAAATTTCATCCAAATGAACTCCCATACATCTTCATCCATCAGTGAAACTCCTGTACAGTACACAATGTCTCTGACATTAAGTGGGATTCTGAAAAAGAGATCAGCAAGAATAAGCATGGGGTTAAATAAGCTGCCTCTTGATACTGTAAATGAAGGAGGAACATTATTACTTTYAGGAGATTGCAAAATACAAGAGCAACAGTATCCACTTCTTGCTGGAATATGCTTAAAACCCAGTAACTCTTTATTTGCACTAAGCCATCCTAACRGATTTTCTAATAGTACAATACATGTCTGGCATTTCTTTCATAACATTGTCACAGTGTTAGAAGAGAATAAATTGTAGTCTTCTCTTCCAYCAATACGTAATGTACCACGTAACCTGCAGGAAACTTTCACAAACTCTCCAAAATAGCATGGKACATAATCACTCTCTTTCAGGGCTCTAAGTCAAATCTCCTCCTCCTGTCCTTAGTGCTTAGGTCTTAGAATGGGAGCCGAACAGCCGAAATCTCCTCCTTGCCTATGTTTTAAATTTGTTCTGTAATGTKCAGGTAAGAAAGGATGCACTCAAAAAACACTTCTTAAAAACAGTATATTCAGAAAATAAAATTCAGAGATCTGTTTACTTATTCAGCATACGAGTATAAAGACATTGATACTTTTGGGTAGTTTTGGATAAGAGACTCCATATAAACTCAGGCTACAATTAAATGAAACAAGTTCTTGAAGCTGAATTCAGACCTACTAAAGGATAAGCATTTGCACCATTTCCTTATGAAGAGATCTGAGTTAGGCTTTCAAATTTCTGTCCTACATACATTTCTAAAACAAATACTAACAAGCTGAAGCATTTTTTAGTGGAGGGTAAATATACTGTCAAGCCTAGAATTTCTCTGAGAAACACATTTCTGACTTAAAAAAACCCTCTTTTTTTTGCCAGTAAAAATTACAGCAAAAGTTATGTTATGAACAGCTGAGTTGAAACACTCAGCTGAAAGGCAGCCAAGTGCAAGACCTGTTGAAAGAATCTGGACATAGATTAGCCTGCTGTCAGTGTCTGGACAGTAATACAGTGAGACAAAGAATAAAATTACCTCTGTAAAATCTGATAACAAATCTTACACTGTACAAAGTGAAAAAGTTGCATCAAGGCTTTCATTCTAAGAAAAAAGCGCTATGCAAAAGACCAGACTATACCAGTCAAGAACCAAAAAGGCTCCTTGGTTGCCATCTATTCACCCTTCAGAGAAATTTTTTTTCCCCTGAAAATTTTTTGTTGTTGTTCTCTATTCAGTAGTGACTAGTTTTGTTAAAAAAAAAAAAAAAAAAAAAAATTCAGCCGATCTCTTTGGCCGTTTTTGTATCCCTGGGAAACTAAACCAGCGTGGCTTTTTAGCATTTCAAAGTTTGGATTGGTCATCAGTGCTTCAGGAAGAAGCAGGCAAGATAGGAAACTACTTTGATTACTGTGAAGGGATAAAAACTGTTGTTGCCTCTAAGGGGTCCCAACAGCTGTGATGTTTTTATGAGGTGAAGCATAAAAAGAATCTGTAGCTAAATCAAAGCAAAACTGTAAGAAAAAAATCACCCCTCCTCCTCTTGGCTGAGGGCTTTTGGAGATTTAATGCCTACTGCTTTTTTGTTGTGCTTTTTTTCCTAGTACCAGAAGTACTAAAAAAGTCCTGAGGTTGTCTTTATTCATATTCCCTGGCTAGTGTAGTCATCGACTCACAGGATGCATCTGCAGGCTCAGTTACAGTCACAGGAATATTGCTGCTTCCTGAAAAATWTACAGCACAGGCCTGTGCTAACCAAACCACACAGGGCCAGCTTGATTAGCACTGGGATGTCTTGCATTTGATGCAGGCAAACACAGACATTTATTCAGGAGTAAACTCTCCAAAGCAAAACTGAGAGGGTAAGCAAGAGACCTATAACCCATTTTAAAGGTGGTARGAATATAACACTCTTAACTATGCTCAGCACATACCAGCGATTTTGTTTGCTGAAGCAACCTGCTACATGCAATGCCAAGAACTGCTCCTATCTAGCCAGGCTGGACTGATGCCTATGATGCAGATCTTAGACTGGTTCAAGATCTTGTTCCTCTACTTCTGCCACCACATCACTGGGAGCACATCCCATCCCTAGCCATAATATGCAATCAGCATGACTATGGCTTGACCACACAGATATGCCATTTCTACATTTCATTGACTCATAATCGCTACACCCCAAAACTGCTGGTTCCATAGTTCTTTCTTCTTGATGCTTGTTTAGCTTTTGCTAGATTTTTTCCCTTGATGTTCTTAAAAAAAAAAAAAAAAAAAGTTAGTGAGTCTCCTAAGACCTGCTCAGGACCCAGTGATCTTGGTCTTTGTCTGGTCTATGCAACTGGTGGTCTCCACAGAACAGTTATATCAAGATCAAGGAAACTGGAAAATTCTTAAGATTCATCTAATCCATTAAGATTATTTATAATTAAACATGAACCGCCAGTGAAGTAGTCACCATTTTCACCAGCCCTTTCAGACTGCTGCATTTTGAATTCCAAAATCTGAGTTATCATTATTAAAATAGTTCTGAAGCTCAGATTTTACTGAGTTGAATTTCCACTTCACTTAAATGAAATTTCCACCTATTTTTCAAAAACTGCATGCAAAAGAAAGTTGTATACAAGTGAATCTACTGAAGAAAATTAAGACAAGAATTTAAAACAAGAAATCAAGAAATAATAAAATTAATGGAGCAGATATTTAGCTGCTGTCTTTGTGTTGCTTTTTATTAGTTGACAGTGTGGTTCTCAGTTTTCTAAATAGCTACAGCTTTATCAAAGACTCGGGTTAGAAGTTCCAGTAACATGTATATGCAGCTACCTATAAACCGCCATTTACTGCATACAATACAGAAGCAATAATAATTATCATTGTTTCTTGTTTTATTCATTTTCTAGTTTATTTGTTCTTAAAGCACAACTTCTACATGGGCTGTATGTAGCTATGATGCGTAGGGATCCATGCTAAATTACAAGGAGTAGGGAACGTTATTCTAAGAATGGGATCAAATGACTATCCTAAATCTGTTTTTTCCTAWGATATTTAGGTATGAAGAAGAACTGAATCCAAACAAACCTTATTTCAGTGACAGAAGAACTTTGTATCTTGACACACACACACTAAAACATTTTTTAAAAGCACATGTAGTTCTTCTTGCTGAGATTTGCTGGCAGAAATAATTTCTTTATTTACTGTAAGTATTGCAACTCAGCCAACAGACACTTCACGGAACTATAAGGCACCTGGAAAAGATAATCCTCTGCTGGCTGACTGCCTCGCTAATTCAAATAGGAAGTGTGTGCTGGAAAGAAGGATGGTCACTCTGTATTTGGGTACAGCAAACAGCATACAAAGCTCGAGATGGACATCCAACCCCAGAGGAAGATAGCAACCTCACCTGTGAGGTTAACGTTTTTGAAAAACAAAGTTAAACATATAAATTCCATAATATATGGAATATAAACATAAACATATACATTCCATAAGCTTTCCCAGGCACTATCATTTAAATTCCTTGTGGTTTTAGCAGCAGYACAGTCAGTAACTGCAGGATAATTTGCATACTCTGAGAAGGAAAGAGGACTTAAGAGATTGATGGCATTGATCACATGCCCACAACCGAGATGCCACGATGCTTTTTATTAATGAAACTCTATTGCTACCAAATCTGTGGCAGTATACTTGCAGTATTGCAGCAGATCTTCTCAAAATCACCCAATCAAGTGCTCTAGGGAAGATTTTAGGTCTCTATGTGTAAGCTAAATCATTAGGATAACATGGAAAAGAACAACAACAAAACACAAATGAAAATATCAAATCAAATACTGACTTTAAAAGCCTTCACTTCAGACACTACAAAACCTACAGCCGTAGGTATGAAGAGCTACAAATCACTCCCGTGAGAGTCTCTTGTAATCAGGACAGGGGGTTCCTTTTTTGTGGAAATGTAATCTGTTTATGAAAATGTGAATATCCCAAAAGTCACTTCTCTTTAGCTATTGCCTCAATAGAGAACCTCCTCATTTAATTTTCTCCCTTTGTGGAGATTTTTGCTTTCTCTCCCCTCTACTTATTACRGACCTGTATTTCATCATTATCTAAACATACAAAACCTCTCCAGTCTACAGATTTTTTTAGTTTCATGGAAAATGTTGTGTTAAGACTGCCTTTCCCTGGCACTAGATCAGCACATGCRATGTTTGCCTCCTGCATTAATTGAATCAAGTGGATAAAATTAACTGTTGTTTGAGTCCTGCTTAGGTAGTAACACTATAGAATGCATTTCCTTGCTACATGAAGCCTCATCTGGGCTTCAAGGCCACTCTCATTTTTAAAGTGCCAATATGATTGATGGATACTTCAGAAGAATATAGATAAAAATTGTTTTAAAAATTAAACACTTTGGGAAAAAGAGTTAAAAATTAAACAGCTAGAAAAAAAATTAATTAAAATCGTGCTGTGCCTTTACAGAGATTTTTTTTTCAAGACTGAATAATAAAGCTCTACAATGAGCTAAGAATAATCTTCTAAGTTATAATTAATTGGTACATACTTGCTCCTATTTAAAGTATGTTCTAACAATTGGAGATACATTTACAATATTTGACCATAATTATTTATCTTCTGGGCAAACTGTGTTCTCTTTTTTTTTCAGGGTAATTGCACACAGTTTTTTTGAGTATGTGACAAATCCTAATAGAMTGTAGAGTAACATTCAGGCAGAGAAAATTAATCAGAAATATTATTCTTTTGCTGTTTAACATGTAGCTTAAGTCTATTTCTCTTGACAACTATATTTATATCCTTGTTCAGTAGGTTACAAAGCTCAAGTAAGAAGTAACAAAATATTGACTCACACAGAGCAATGCATGGGCACTTTGTCGGCAGACATGTAGTATAGATTCTGTTAGGAGTAACAGCAAAGCACAGTTTATTTTCTAAGATGGAAACCCCAAAGCTTGCATTTCCATTTGTTTAATAAAATCCAAGAGCTGCACTGCCTGCAAGATTGTGCACACACTGTTGGRGA